CACAACATTGCATCCTGCTAAGGTTTATGAGAGTTAGGGTATGCATTGAAATCCTTAATGAGTTAAATAAACAAAAAGAACTGCGTATGTGTATGTGTTTGTGTGCACATGGTTGAACATGTGTATCCATGTCTAACCCTGTGAAGAGCTCGAGCACATCGACTGTCAGCAGGCCTTGAAAACAGCAATAAAGGTTTTTTTTTTTTTTTCTTAAATCACGCAGCCACAAAGCAAGAAAAAATATAAGTAAACAGTACACGACTGTTCCAATTAACAAGGTTCATACTAAAAGCTTTTTAAATAAAGGCGAGCCACGGAGTGCTACGGAGGATTAAAGCCACAATAGTGAGAGTGTATGTGGGACCTTGGCTTTGATATGAAATCTTGTGGCCTTGCCTTTACCGCCCTCCATGTTAAAAGCTCTTTGTGACAAGGAAATTACTTTATGAACCTCTGAAAGACACTCCAACACTTCAACCTCCCAGTTAGTTTCATGGACAGACCATGAGAGAAGTGTTTTCTCTCTTTTTTTTTCTTTTTTTTTTTTTTTTTTTTTTTTACATTTTTTAAACCACTTTTATCAGTCTGTGTCCCTGCTCTTATTTCAGGGCTTATCCTTCATTTTTTAGTTTTACTTTCTGAACAGAAAAACTACTTCTAATTACAGATTTTTTTTTAAAACTCTCTGCCCTTCTTTCAATACTGTTTTCTGCACTCAAATAAGTACAATTTAGTTGGGTATATTGTCAGAAAGAAAATAACTGATTTGCATAATTTGTGTATTTTGAAGAAGTCCAGGGTTTGTGAATAAATATGAAAAAGTGAAGTATATAGTTTTACCTCCAGCCTTTTAAACAATTCTCAACCTGTGCTTGAACAAGAGGTCTGTTTTTTATTTTCTCAAGGTCTGTGGAAATCAGTTTGTTTGAATATGCCGGACCTGACATTGGCTGAATCATATTTATGTGTGAGTGTGTTTTTGTTTAGGTCTGCAAGGATTCGGCTCCTTTAACATGTACCTGGAATGTTGAATCCGGATAGAAGCAGAAATACCAAACATGTGTCTTGGCGGCCTTGAGACTTCACAGGGCTCTCGGACTGCAGTGCTCAGCTTGGTAAACAGCGCTTTCCTCTTGTGGCTCTGTGTTTGGACAGGAAACAAGGAAGCTGATCAAACGCTGGGCTCAGAAGGCCATGGCTGCACTGAGCTGGAAAGGAGTCGCGGGGCTTTCAAAGCGCTTTGAAAAGCTGGAAATGTGAAAAATAACACGTCACTTGTGTGTGCAAATCTATCAGTTTGAGATTTTATTTTGTTGAGCTATAAATCCCTCAAATAAATCATCCAATGTACTTATCTCTAACTTGTATTTTGTTTACAAGTGAGAGGAACAAGTGTGGCAAACAGCTGCTGTTAAAGCCCCACAGCCACAGTGTGCTGCAGATTTACTGCCCTGTCCGGATGACATCATAGATTAGCAGCAGCAGCAGGGTGCAGATGATAGGGAGCATTATGTGGATGGATAGATGAAGGGTAGGGGAGGGGGATAGGAAGAGAAGGAGGAGAAAGACTGGAAAAGAAGTACAAGATGTGTGTCAAAGTCATTGGTGTTAATAGGTGAGGCAGTAGTGCTCCTCCTGTGACTGTGTGTTACATTGGAGAATTTGCATGGTCATAAATGTTAGCATTTGCAAGTGAGGGTCGAGATAGATAATAAAAGTCAGTTGAAATGTGTGAAGTATACTGTATGTGTTTGCATAAGCAGGTTTTTTTAAATTGTGTTGTACTTAAAGCTCCTGAGAGGAGTATTTTTACATCTCTGAACCAGACTGAAATTCATAATGATGCATTTTTTATTATATCTTAGAGCGAGTAGGAAAATAAATGACATGATCAGTGACTTTTTTATTGTAATTTTTAATGCCTGCAATCAGTATAAGGGGGTAGGTGCCCGTCAAGAAGTTGAATAAACAGCCCTGTTTGTACCATTCCTACACATTTGGCTGCCAAAAGTAAAAACAGATTGTTTTTCCACAGGGGGGCGCAAAAATTTACTCTAAATGAAAGTTTCTCACAGGAGATTTAAACGATGAGTGTTGGGGGTGTGTTTTGTGTATATTATCCTATATATGTTTATTAACAAAACACAATGATGGACTCTTTCATGCTTAATGAGGTCTGTGCATATTTTTCAATGTGTGTCTCTGCATTATACCGTACATATTTTCAAGTGATTTTTTTAAAACATTGATACTCCCAAAAACCTTGAAATTATGTAATGTTGAAATTTGGAGGATAGATTGTAAACAATTATGGATAACCTTGTTTCAATACAGGAGGAACTGGAGTCTCTTTTAGATTCTTTAATGATATCTTAAAGGGATATTCCGGCGTTAAATTAATTTAGGGTCAAACACACTGTAACACCGAGTTAGACACCCCCTCGAGAGATGAATGTTGCCGACTGCTTGCTTCTCTAGTTATACCAATTTAAGTAACTACCGCATGATAGCAATACACAGCGATCTTAAGAGCTCAACCAAAAAGCCACTCTATAGCCACAAATAATACTCAGAACAGCACCCAACTTCATCAGCAGTACATAAAGGGTCCCAGCCATAGCACTAGCCACCAAACATCTTTTTAACTTTGCCTGATTTCTTTAGGAAAGAGACGAAACACAACTCACCTACTCTCTTCCAGCAGCCACTTGCTTGTAGAGAGAACTCGAGTTGTGTTCAGTCTCTTTGCTAAAGAAATCAGGTGAAGTTAAAAAGATGTTTGGTGGCTAGTGCTATGGCTAGGACCCTATATGTACTGTTGATGAAGTTAGGTGCTTCTCTGAGCATTATTTGTGGCTATAGAGTGGCGTTTTGGTTGAGGTTTGTTTATGGCTCCTCAGACTGCTGTGTATTGCTATCATGCGGTCGTTACTAAAGTTGGTATAACTAGAGAAGCAAGCAGTCGGCAACATTCATCTCTCGAGGGGGTGTCTAACTCAGTGTTACAGTGTGTTTGACCCTAAATTATATCTTAAAGTATCCTTTAAAGTGATTAACAATATGTCCTGGATGTCTCTACGGCAAGATTTTGAATTGCCTTGCAAAGGGCATCACAGTTGGGCCTCTGTGGAAGATGTGCAGCTCCTCAGTTTCTAACCCCTTTATCCATGTGGTGATCAAAGTGGGCGGGTAAAGCTCAAGAAGTGGAAGTACAAATGGTTGTGCATGCATTTAGTTAACCTCACCAAAGGAGCTAGTTAAAGAAGCATTTTTTTTCAACAGGTGGGCCACAGAAACAACCCAGGAGCTTTTTGCTTCCACATCCTCAGGGTTTCCACGCAGGTTGGAGGATGACCGACCTATATTTATGGAAAAATTAGTTTTTTTTTTCTTCCACAGGACCTTTAAGAAAGTATGATGCCATTTTTCATTGGGGATTGACAAAAAGAACATTACAGCCTCAAAATTGGAGCCAAGACTTCTCTGATTGAGGAGGTGGAAATCTGGTCATGACCCGGAGCAGAGTTTCAGCTCCAATTTAATATCATTCAACAACACGAAGCCAGACCGATCAAAGTCACAAAAAAAAGGGAGAAAAAAACTTTTTTTCAAATTTAATAGCTATTCTTCGTATAAATCTCCTCTCTGAAAAGAAATGTACTAACTAGAGAAAAGAAATCACTGAACCTTCAACCTGAATCAAAAAGGTCAGTAAAAGTCTAACTTCATCTTTAAGGCTGGAGGAATTCAAAGAATACTCTTTTTATTTTGATAGCAGATGATTGGCAATTTTCCTTGAGAACGTGTTACTTTATACTTTAAATTTTTCTGTCTTGTTAAAGAAGTTGTTTCCTCTGCTGCAGTTATTTACAACATACAGTAGCTAAGTATACGTGGGCAAAATTTCTTGATCCGATTAAAAATTTTAGGGATCGGAAAGTCTGAATCCACTGTTTATATGGGCGCAAAATCAAATAATCCAATCACGATGTGCATATACATGCACTGAGCTTTATTCAGATCAGTAGCATCTGGACATGCGCAGAGTTGTCTGATTTCACTAAAACAACCACAAAGGAGGGTTGTATTCACCCCTGTGCTGTCAACAAACCAACAAACGCAGTAGTGGCTCACTCCATCGAATTCAGGAGTTTTCCCTCTGTTAAATCTTGTCACTAGATGGCGCCCCTGCGTACTTATTTTATTGTCCTGTCAAAGGTTGCACTGTGTGTGCAGATGTGACATCATTACGCTGTATGTATGTCTTGTTATGCACCTGCGGTTGTGTTTACGCCAGAGCGTTGTTAATGAAACCTCCTGTACTGGCCTCAATAAGTAAGCCAAAGGCTAACGAGTGAAGATCGAGTCAGGTAAGAGAGTCACGATCAGAATTAGTGTTTACATGGACATGTTTCAGAATAACCATCGGCATAAACCACCTGTCTCAATCAAAATACAATTTCTTTCCGATTGAGTCAAATTGGATCAGAATCTTCTGATCGACATGTTTACATGACGCATTTTTATTCCGATCGGGCATTTATTCCGATTATTTGTGCCCTTGTAAACGTAACCGTTGTGTCCTCTTCTGAGTTTGTTTTTTTAATAGTGGCCTGTTTGAATTAAAGGGGGATCTAATATTACAGAAAAACAGAGGAAAACACTTTCGCTAATCAATTGAGTAGCTCCATAAAAGTTTTCTTTAAAAAAAAAGCCATTTCAAAAAACTTTTTGTGTTGGATCGAAATTTCCACAAGTGGCAGGATGTGTTTTCTTTTTTTAATATAACTAACATGACAGTTTGAAGAACAGGAAATGCTATTGTGAATATGACTCCTGATGTTGTTAAAGTTATTATAGTGTGTAGCAGTATTTTGACAACTATCGTAGCAAATATTCCTCACGCCTGTGTTGGCCTGATGGCTGTTGATTCTTGAGTTGCAGGGATCTGTCGAGTGAGCAGATCGACCAAATGAAGCCAAAATAAGACAACAGGTTGGTTTCATTTTTTACTTCCTGTGTTTATTGTCCTCTAAAGATCGAAAACTACACACCCACAGTACATGATCATGTACAAACACCACCATGACTGCTCTCTAAAATGATAGCACATGCGTACAGCTCAAATTTCCTGTAATCACATTCAGAATTTGCTTTCACCACCATCCACTTCAGCTTATAAAAGATAAAAATGAATGAAATGTGACTGTGTCTTGTCTGGTGGTAATAAGGCTAAAATAAAAAGGCAGAATTGGGTGGCTTAGTGCCTTGACACTGAGGTTACTCCTCTTTATCTTCCTCCAGCGGCTCCCTGGACTCCTCGTTTGAAATCTGCAGAAAAGGAGTGCTGATCTCACTTGACTGCATGTCACCTGCCACACGCAGCAAGCAGCTCAGGACCATGTCCTTGGCAAGACCAGCCTCCAGGTTCCCCTCTCGGCTCAGCTGCAATGTGATCTGGTCCAGGCTTGTCATAACCAGCTCTGAGCACAGCATGGGGCAAACCGGACCTGCACCAGGTTTTTCCTTGGCCATATCCTCCATCATGTACAGCTGGTATAAATCCAGGACTTTCTGCTCCAGGTAGTGGTTCAGGAGAGAGTTGGAGAATGGACCTTCACGGCCCTGGAACAAAAAGCTCCGATTGCTTCCCTGCCTCCAGCGGTTTGAGCCTCCCCTCAGCGGGTGCAGAATCTCAGTCTGAGGCATCTGTCCAGGAGGGGAGTCTTCGACAGCTGGGAGGACGTCACATGACTGGAGGAAAGGGCCTACAGCCTGGACATCAGTGCCAACACGGAGATCACCATCGTTGGCCAAGAGAGGCAGAACCTGGTCACCCCCAATATGGAGGTCACTGTAATTTTGGCAGAAGCTCTGACAGAAAGAGGGAACCAGAAAAGGGGAATCCACTCCTGAACAGGCCTGAGCTGGGATCTCGATCTCTGGGGAGACCTGTCTGTGGAGATCCAAGGACTGCAGCAGAGAAATGTACAACTCCTCTGATGGAGGACCCGTCTGCTTGGGGGAGTCATGATGAGCGATTGGAGTGTGTCTGCTGGGGCCGGGTATGAAGGTAGGAGCTGCTTTAGGCAGCCTGTAAGTACTCTGGAGAGTCTGCTGAGGACACAGGGGATCCAGATCCAATTCACCATAGGTCATGCTCAACAGTCTGCCTTCACAAAGCATGGCTGCAAGAGAGAGTACACTCAGGAGCTGTTTGACAAGTTACGAAACACACTGCATATCATTATTTTACATAATAGGGTGGAAGTGGTTCAATACATTTATTTATTAAAGCTTCTGTGAGGAGATCTGAGCTGGTTGTAAAACAGACTGGAATTAAAAGTGATGCTTCCGTAAGAGAAAATGAGACCATTAGCAACAAGACTGTTTATTTTTGTATTTTATTTAATAAGTACCTGCAAATCCCACCACTCTGAGAGTGTCAGATAAAAGTATTAAAGTTATGCTGCCAGAACGGCTTTTTTATATCACAGCACACATTCGTAGTTAAGGATACATATAGCTGTTATAAGGCAGCAGGTTGAGTTTCTTATTTTCATATACTGTATATAGGACAGAATGAGCATTGACATAAGATGTACCGCTTTGTCCACAGGGGGCGCCATAATCAGCACGAAACTAAAGGCATTCATGGTACCTCTGACATCGAAATACAAATACCTATTTAGAGAGCAGTCTAACATAAATTACTACCTAAACTTTCACTTGCATTTAAGCTTCTGCGAGGAAATGTTGGATTGTGTCTGTGTCTCTTAATGACCCACAAAAGCAAGCTTAATCATCAGCAATTAGCTATTTCTGATTAATTTGTTTTAAGTCTAAAAATGCTGGTACTTGTTAGTGTCAGTTAAGTAGATTCTTTGTACACTACCAAAATAAAAGCTTTTTTATGATAAATAAATAATAAATACTACTTTTATACTGTATATACAGAACTGAATCAGCTCTTTGACTCTTTGTATTAGGGTAATTTGTGTTTGGAATTTATATAATATAAAGCTCAAAAGTGTTTCATTTTTATAAGCTCTTTATCCTGATAAATACATGGGAGTAACAGAGACATTTTTCTCATTAACTTTAATAAATTCATATGAAACAGAAATCCATACTAAGGGTAGAGTAGTAAAAATGTGTAATATACTTAATATATTTAGCACTTTACTAAATGTCTTTCCTAGATTTGAGTGTTTACAGTTACACAAAGTTCAACCATGAACGAGAGGAATTAATTATGAATTTAAAGCACATAAAGAAACCATGATTGGATACTACATGACAGAACTTTTATCAAAGGTTTCAACTGAACCTGGAGGGTCTTATTCATGATCTATTTTGACTTCTGTGTAAGGAGGTCCATGTATTGATCTCCAAACAGAAAATAATAAATTTAAAAGAGAGCATCGTACCCTTATTCTATAATCATAAATAAATCATACTCCTCAGACGCAAACATCTTCCTACCTCAGGTTTGAAGCGCAGTCTCTCAGCCTGCCTTTGCCTCAGGGTGCCAAGTGTCCTTCCACGGTCTTTATCCCAGAAAGAAAATATACTCTTCTTAAAAATATTGCATTTTTGTCTTGATATTGGGGATCAAATGTGGACGCTACACTTGTTTCAGGACCTGCATGAGCACAAATGAGCACCTATGCAGGAGGATCACTAGAAAGTCTTATAACACACTAAGAGGAAGTGAAAATGACAGGTGTTTCTTCTTCCCATTTCTACATAAAGTAAAAGTACAGCTGTGTTAACCACGAAGAACATTTAAAAACAAGTTACCAGGCAAGGTTATAGCATGCTTTTATAGAATGGTTAATGTAATTTTCTCTGCTCTAGCTTACATATGTGTGTTTTTTAATCTTAGTATTTTGTTCTAAATCAAGGGAAATTCTTGGTGTGATTTTCATACAAATGCAAAACAAGCTCTAAGACAAAACTAGAATGTTTTGTTTCCCTGTAAATGAAACAAGTGTGATACTGAGATTCTGTTAAAAGCAGAAGAGAAAGTCATCTTTGATTTGATCTAAACATCAAGAAAGTTTATATTCTCACACTTTCTGCATTAAGCACTGTAATATTAATGTTAAGCTGTTGTTGTGTGCTGCTGTGTTGTGTGTGTGTGTGTGTGGCACTCCTCAATTGTTATTTGTGCTTAAGCAGAAGTGTGATTTTAAGTTATATAACCACTTCATTACTGAAACTAAGCCTTCTCTTTACCATGCCTTCTCTTTTCATATACACTAAACTGTGACGGTGACTTCTCCTGAGTCCTTTGAATGATAATTCACCAGCATTTGTTTTTTTTCTCTCCCCACATGATTTAAGCACCTTTGTGATAAAAACTCCTGCATTAATCTCTTATTCTGGCAAACCAAGGTGAGATCTAAATCAGTTACCTGGAGAGAGTGATGGAAACTTTCAGGTTTTATTTATGGCTCCTTGTCTGCATGTATGACTGGCTTCAGTCAGGCCTCTTGTAATCAGACTTCCCCCTCTTGCAGCAGGAAAGCCCAACAATAGGAGCCTTTGAAACATGAGAGAGCATGTTGTATTATTAATAAGGAAACCTAGAAAGAGGTTTGCATCACTCAATTTTATCAATTTTATCAAGTCTGTTAAAGGGATATTCCAGTGTAATATTAATTTAGGGTCAAACACACCATAAAACCGAGTTAGACACCCATGGCTTTGACCCTATATGTACTGTTGATGAAGTTAGGTGCTGTTCTGAGCATTATTTGTGGCTATAGAGTGGCGTTTTGATTGAGGTTTGTTTATGGCTCCTAAGAATCAGAAAACATTTATTGCCATTTATGCAAGAAAAGACATCATGCGGTTGTTACTATAGTTGGTCCAACTAGAGAAGCATGTAGTCTGCAACATTCATCCCTCGATGGGGTGTCTAACTCGGTGTTACGGTGTGTTTGACCCTAACTTTTTTTTACGCCGGAATATCCCTTTAACACCTGGGTCAGAGGACCTTCATCCTTTTAAGTTTAGCCAACTAAAATTGAGGACAGACATGATTGTGTTGAGATTAGGGTAGTTCCAACATTACCAAAGTACTGACCAGTTCTGTACACAGCCTGTATTTTATAAGGGGCTGCCTTTATCTATTAATCCATCTTAAAATGATCCTGTGTAAAGATAGAGAAGCAAGTAGTCGGCAACATTCATCTCTCGAGGGGGTGTCTAACTCGGTGTTACGGTGTGTTTGACCCTAACTTAATTTTACGCCGGAATATCCCTTTAATGTACATACATCTGGAAACTGGGTATAAATCTTCCTTTTTATCCATATTTTCTTATACACCTCGTAGAGTAAGTCAAGTAACAGCCATATATTGTTTTTTTTTTCTCCTTTCCATTTGGGGAGGGGGTATTTAAATAAAGATGAGTCATTTAACAGATGAACTGTTGGTCACTTAAGTTTGTGGGAACAGCAGCTGTAGTTTTTTTGTTGTTATGACTCAGGTCATTTGAAACGGCACTGCTCTGTTGTAATGGTAGCAAACAGTGTAGAGTTACAGTCAGGTCGCTACAGCAACCTTCCTGGGCAACATCCGATCACATTAAAGACGAGCTGGGATCAGGTTAGGCAAGGGGACCTGGACCTGCTGTTGGTCTTTCAAGCAGCCATTCAGTTGTTTCAGCACCGCGGACAGCGACTGGTTATTGTCAATAACTCCAGCCAGACAATTTTGTTCATTTGTTTGTTTTATGGGGAAGATATTGTTGGATTTTAATAGAGGAATATGGACGAATTCTTCCCCAAAACGAAGGAATCTAAGGATAAGTTTAAACCCTAAAAGTTTGGAGGCATGTTCAGGAAGATTAACAATGTTTTCCGTCCCAACCATCATGGGCAGAGAGGGCGGGATTCTGGAGGTGGAGGTGGGTTACGGTCCGAGCAAGATTACCACAGCGCGTGCACCGTGCGACTGGTCCGCAGCACGTCCATGCTCGTGGTGGGAGAGAAAACTCAGACAGCCGTGGGCTCAACTTTGAAACGAAGCAAAAGCACCGTGAGCATCGAGTCGACCTTGTACTATTATCAGAGGCAGGAGGACCGGATATGGCTCTACTCTCAGAATCAGAACTGTCTGGAGTACCTGGAGGCACTCGTGGCTCTGAGGCGACAGTACATGAAGAGCGTGAGTGACTTGAAAAGTGCCGACAACAAGGCCACAGTGTCCTCCAAAAAGAAACACGCGCCCCCGCCACCCAACAAGGAAGAACCGGTAAGAGTCTGTCGGTAAAAGTAGAGGATATGAGAGGTGATATCCAAGGCAAATGTTCTCCCGTTTTTCTAAAACACAGATATCAAGCGACGAACCTACAGCAGTACCCACAGCCCCAGACGAGGAGGGAACTCTTGAGTTCTTCGATGCTGTCATAGCCAGCTGTGATAGTGAGCCGCTACGGAAGCCTTACAGGGATGATGGACACGCGGATGTAGACTTCATAGGTGAGTTTGAACTCAACTGGAACTAATTATTATTTAAAGGGATAATCTGGTGTAAAATTATGTTAGGGTCAAACACACCGCAACACCAAGTTAGACACCCCCTCGAGAGATGAATGTTGCCAACCCCTTGCTTCTCTAGTTATACCAACTTAAGTAATGACCAAACGATAGCAATACAGAGAGGCACGCGCTCAACCAAAAAGCCAGTCTACAGTTAAAAATAACTTCATCAACAGGACAAATAGGGTCCCAGCCTTAGTACTAGCCACCAAACATCTTTTTAACTTTGCCTAATTTCTTGTTTCACACAACTCACCTACTCTCTTCCAGTAGCCACTTGTTTGTAGCAAGACCTCCAGGCAAGTCTATCAACTGCAGAGGGGTGACGCAGCTCAAGGAAGAACATTTATGATCATTTCCTCATAAAAATGCAATCAGACCGAGACGCTAAGGCAGAAGAACTACCGCGTCTGCAGTGCAAACTGATTAATATAGTGATTATTACTTCAAGAAAATGATAAACAAAATATAAATGTTCCTCCTTGAGCTGCGTCACCCCACTGTAGTCCATGATGGACTCGCCCAAGGTCTTGCTACAAATAAGTGGCTGCTGGAAGAGAGTAGGTGAGTTGTGTTTGGTCTCTTTGCTAAAAAAATCAGACAAAGTTAAAAAGATGTTTGGTGGCTAGTGCTATGACTGGGACCCTATATGTACTGTTGATGAAGTTAGGTGCTGTTCTGAGCATTATTTGTGGCTATAGAGCGGCCTTTTGGTTGAGGTTTGTTTATGGCTCCTCAGACCACTATGTATTGCTGTCATGCGGTAGTTACTAAAGTCGGCAACATTCATCTCTCGAGGGGGTGTCTAACTCGGTGGTACAGTGTGTTTTACCCTAACTTTATTTTACACCGGAATATCCCTTTAATACTTGGGTCAGAGGACCTTCATCCTTTTAAGTTTAGCCAACTAAAAATGAAGACAGACATGATTGTGTTAAGATTTGGGTAATTTCAACATTGCCAAAGTACTGACTAGTTTTGTACGCAGCCTGTATTTTATAACGGGCTGCCTTTATCTATTAATCCATCTAAAAGTTATCCCCTGTATAGATGTATTGAGTGGCTAGCACTGTTGTCAGGCATTTTCCATTTTGAAGTATTTTACTCACCTGCCACATTTACTTAAAATTTGTAGGCGGATTACTGTATAAATCTAAACAGTGTAGAAAAGAGTCGCTCACCTTTGTATGTTTATAGAGCCCACCTGAAAATCTTTCAAAATTCTTCCAAGTGTAATTAAAAAGTTTATGACCTCCCTGTAAAGGACCATGCTGCATAGAGTTCATTCTTTCTGTGATCATATCTGGGGTTGATACTTGCTTTCCACATTTACATCCTCTGACATAAAGAGGAGATGGATGTTTACTCAACTATGATGTGTGTAGCCCAAGTAGTTTTAGTTTGGTATACAAAGATGTATCTCAGTGACCACTTAAAAGCTTAAAATACTGCTGAACTGAAATGAACCAAAGTCTGCTCTCTAAAAGAAAACTTTTTACACAACCTTTTGCGTACAAATTACATATGAATCCATCCCTCTTAAAATGAGCTTCTAATAATTAAATATTGATCTATTGTTATACCAGACCCTGATCTGCTTTGGTTTGGGTTTTTTTCATTATGTCACATTGGCTTTGTGCTACTAAATGTCACAAATTTTGTATTTTCTTATTGTGCCACTAGTTGAATGAGGTAGAAAATGTTCAAGTGTAAGGGTGGTCAGGCTTTAATATGAACATTACTTTTGTTCTTTAGGGTCAGCTGATTAGCCAAACCAGCCTGCAGAAAACTAAACATACCTGAGTGACAATAGTTCTCAAGCCGAAAGTCCCAACTTCCAGGCTTATCTTCTTCTGCTCTCTCTTCACCCACAGTGGCCTCCAGCTCAGCTGAACATGACCTCCACTCGAACTGGGTCTTGAGGGTTCCTCGGGTCCCAGAGGACGCAAAGCAGAAAGAGGTCAGTGACTGTGCCAATGAAAAAGCCACGAAGAAGAAGAAGAAAAACCAGAGCCAGAGCGGGTCCACCAGCAGCAGACTGCGGCTACAGAGGAACCCGATCCACCTCCCCAAAGTGGTAGAGAGTGCGTTCCAGACACTGCGCTTCAAGCCCAAATTAAAAAAGCAGTGAAGCTTGATAGACATTTGAAACCAGCAGCATGTAGAGCTCAACCCACTTTGTATGGACAGACACCATGAACTGATGGAGATCTTTCCAGAATAATCATACATAAGTTTTAATACTGCAAATGGAAGAAAAAGTATGTCATAGCTGAAAAATGTCTATCTGAACAGATCATTCAGAGCATGTTTTGACTAATCACTGTCCTCAGGCTGCAAAATAAATAGCAGTTGCATCATTATTACAATATGAGTATTTGAAATCATCCTATCACAAAATTCATTGCAATGAAAATAACTACTCTGAGATTATTTGGTGCTGGTTTAGTAGTGAATGTAGAATCGCACATATATTTTGCTCACATGCAGGCCTGCTCTGCACCACTCAAAAGTCCCAGTTAGTCACGAAAGAGACAAACAATCAGCACAATACCAAGGTTCAGAAACTTCAGATAAATACTGTCAAATTTAGCCAAGAGAGTTAAGTTTACTCCAATGGTTCACCTGCTATGGTGTGTCAAAACATCATCTATAAAAAAGCCTTCCAATTATCAAATCTTTAACATCAAACTCAATCAATTCACAATTCTTAAGCATCAATAGGACTATACTTTCAAGTTTTCCCAATGACAGTCTGCTAAAACCATTATTATCAGGTGTTGAGTTCAGTAAGGGAAATGTTTAATATTGCAACAGGTATGAAACTAAGGTAGAGAGGAGCTTAAGGTTTACAGATGCAAAGAAGCAGCATTCCTTGAGGTTTCTAAGGCAAGAATAAAATGCAACCGTGTCCTTCACAGCCACAACAAAAAGAGGTAAACATCATCCCAGGGTGCAACATGAATGCCTGTTTTTAATTTCAGAGTTAGTCTCTGATTTGTAAGGCCGATACAAGGTCTGAGTTGACTGAATAGTTCAAAAGCAGCTTTGACTGTTCTGGTAACTGTTATAGATGTTATCATCAAAACATAAGGGGTCCATTTCTTTGATTACAAAAGCCGACACATTGTGATTTTAGCTGAAAGGCTAAGTGAGGATATGAGCTGTATTGATGACTGGTGATGTTCTTTTCCGTGGGGTTGATCTTGCCGTTGACACAATTGACGATAGCGGTATGTTTTTTTTTATCATCTCAGCGTTTACACCAAATCATATGAAATGGACCCTAAACTATTTGCATCCTAGTAGGTCATTCAAGTGAGCTCTGTCTTTAAGACTGATTCAATAGCAACAGCTTTTACTCAAAAGTATTAAAGACCCTGAATAAAAAATGTCAATACCAACTTTCATCAAATCTCATTCCACTACTTCTATGAGAGTTTATCTTCAGGGTTGAATAATTTGTTTAATACCATCAACAACGTCTAAGAGCATCGTTAGAGATATACTTGATAATACTGGGAATTAACAGCAAAGTTAGCCTTCATTTTTTTATCAGTTCTCAACTTCGGGGGCAAAATCACAGACTATAAAATACTGGAGGACATGGCAGATCCCCCAGAAATGAAGTCAACAAGGTTTGTGGTTCTCCTGATTGGCTGCAGTAAAGGTCACAAAGTTAGTCTTCTCCATGTATTTAATTCAAACACTCATATACACACTGGATTCCTTCTTCTGTTGATATAGTTAGTGCTTGTACTGGTTTATGTCAAAATATTAGATTCTCAGAGTTGTTACACTTCCCTTTAAATTTGCAGTAAGATGCACTTTTGACACATTTTTTATCATCTAAAAAGTGAGCTGTGCCGGACACACCAATGCAACCAATACATATATACCGATATAAAATGCAGAGAGATGTCCAGCGTTTTACCCTATTTTATCTAAAAGACAAAGAGGCGAGTACTTCAGAGCAGGACACAAAATAGCGTGGACCAGTCTAGCTGCAGCCTCTTTTTGTGCTTCTCTCCTTCATCAAGCTCAAATCAGGCTTTTCAAGGAAACACTGGCTAACTATTTAGTGAATAATCCTGAATTGATAGAAAAGATTCCCCATTTTAGATTGAACACAGTCCCCTGTGATCTGAACGTAACATCAGTGGCATGCTTTGGTCAAAATATATCGTGAATCAAGCACTATGAGAAGTTTTTGACCCAGAACAGTCTCTGTGAATGCAAATGAGCTTCCTCTTTCCTGCACTTAAAACGATGGGAGAGAGGTGCTCATGGCTTCATTTCTGTGCAATGAAAGGGGGTGGACACACAAGGTCTATTTTTTAAAAACATGCAAAATCTTATCCTAAAGATTACTAGGTAAGAATATCCTGGAGCTCTGAAATGTAGACATAGAAACATGTAGCTTACAAAACTGCTAAATGACTCATTCTTCTCTCCTCTCTTTCTCACCCCCTCGTCTGATTCAAATCTTATAAAAAGAAAGGCCATGTTCATCAATACAGTTTCTTTTCTTTATTACAATTGTGTCATATACAAAACAGATGCTGTACAACATTTATTTCTTTTCTGCTTTGGCCTTGGGGCTGAAGAAGGACGACATGGGCTTCATGCCAGTCTTGTCTACCTTGGCTAGAGTTTTCTGAGCAGAAGTCATCTTCTTAGGCGGCTAGAAAGAGGGAAGAAAAAAATCGATAAGAAAACTGGTTGACTTTACTCAGAGACAGCAGAGAATTCATTATATATAATCAAGTTCAGTTCAAACTGAGAAAAAAAACACATTCGTACAAGGTAAGCCCCCTTTGACCCATGTGTATACTCAGACAGACAAAGCTGAGAGAAAGTAGTCAGCAAACAAGAGCCGCACTAACAATCACTCAAGGTCTCAAGGAGGAAAAAAAGATTCCAAGATGAAAGCAAACAAATGATCGCCCTGGTGATGATAATAAAAATCAAGAAAAATGATGATCAAAGCCAAAGATTTTCACGATAGCTGTTTGGTCTATTCAGGCAGACTGCTGCACACACTCACTTTACGAACAAAGTCTGCACTGTTGAATTTGGTGTAGTCCTCTCCGGCCTCCACCGGTGTGTCTGAAAGTTTCCGCTTCTGCCAGATGAGGAAGTGAGAAAAAAAAAAGCTTTTCACGACAAAGAGAACGAAACTTTTCACCGCAGAAACACACACCACAACAAGCCGAGAACATGACCTCCACTCCTGATGAAAGAACTCTTGTTTAAAACACACAAGCGCAACCAGATTTCATCTTTAGTAAGATGAAATTATGCAGAAGGAACAATGTTTGAGTTAGTTTGAGGAAAGGGAAAGAGCGCTACCACAGCCTGGAAAGGGAGACCAAGAATAGGACGTACATGAGGAATACATACCTTTGAAGGAGGTTCTGTCTCTTTTGGGCTTGTGAGCTCAGGTAGCCTGTGAAGCACAACAAGAACCACACTTGATCTCAATGTTTGGGCACAAATATATGCTCAAAAACGTTGCGAATTTGTTAGATGTCACTTACTTAAGGTGTCTAAGCAGGTCTTTGCTCAGGTCTTCACTGATGTACTCAGATATCAGGCCGTGCGCGTAACGTAAGTAGTCCTCTAAGTCATAAAAATGAAGGATCGTTGCAGGTAATCAGCGAGAAAAACCTAAACTTAATGTTCAACATTGTAACAAGTTGGAGAAATGTTGCAGGGCTGTAACCTCTGGATATAAACTATAAAATATGACTGCCATCTACTGGTCAAGACAAAGAAATGAAGTTAGGGAAGAAGACCTGTTTTACATTTCTTTAGACAGGAAGATGGAGAAGGAATAGTTGAAATAGTTGTCTTGAACATTTAAGCTGAAGCTTCTCACCCTCATTATGGTCTGGCTCTGACTTGACTCTGACATATGTTGAAGATTTGACTCCTTCTCCCACTGAGATATGTCTCTTCTTGAGCGCAGCAACCGTCCTCTCCACCTGCATCAAGATAGAAAAAAATGTATTCACTCCTACCTGGATAACAATCTATCAGTGTATCTGGTAGATTCAAAATATCCACCAGATACATTAGATTTTTTGAGATGAGCCAAAAGTCAGTGATTGAAATAAACAACTAAAAAGGACTGGCTAACTCATAGGCTATGTTCACACTGCAATTCAGATTCTTAACCATGTGACATATCCGATTTTTTTTATGTAAGTGTGAACAGTGCAATTCTGATTTTTTCAAATCCGACCCAGGCCTCTTTTGTATGTGGATATAATCAAGATATGTATCCAATGTGACTGCAGTGTGGACGCTCAGGTCGCGTTCATCCGACCTATACGTCCTCAATATGTGACAAACGTCACCATTATTCGACAACACAAACAGGCGCGGAAAGTGATTTGTGCTTTGTGCGCATGTGGGTCACTTCACGAATGCATCGTGTTCACATTAGATGCCGCATTCGTTGATGTAATGTAAACGACCGCACAAAAATAACGGATTTAACAAAAAATCCGAATTGTGCATCATAACCTGCAGTGTGAACGTAGCCAAAGTTGAACACTTTGTGGTACCAGCAAATACATCGTAGTAGCCCAACAAGAGATGCAACAACATGTCCTTGTTATACGTGTGAATAACTCATCAACCCCAGCCCCGATGAAAACACTTTGTATAGTTTTTGTTTTTAAGTTATGAATATCTAGAACACATTTATATAACAGTCGTGATGAGTACCTTTTTCTTCAGCCAATCCATCGTTTTCTCCTGACTGTATCTATGGAACTTTAGGTTTGCTACTTCTGCGAGAACAAAAAACAACTTTTAAACAATAAAAACAACACGACCGTATAATTCTCTGGCATTGGCTTCAAGTATACACTACCTTTTTCTTCTGCAATGTGGCGCAGAGAGGCCAGTGAGTGTGTGCAGCTCAGCAGCCTTGAGCAAGCCGGGAATTCTTCATCCATAACGACTTGATCCACAGGCTGAAACTTCCCCTGAGCAGCAGATGGAATATTTAAAGAGATTTAAAGATGTTTTGATTTTTGTGTGCGCAGAGTGAGTCAGTAAATTGGAAACATTCAGATCTCCAAATCTACAAGGCCAATTTGCAATCATTTACAAGCTGCCATATAAGAGGCACAACACTGCTGTTAAGCTGTAAGTAAAAATGCTGAGACACCATAACATTTTGTTTTATATTATCTCTCTGTAAAATATTCTCGCACTAGAAAAAAAATCTCTGACATTCAGCCAGGAGTTTTTACAGATTCTAGTTAACGCTTGAAAATATTTTCTGTCTCTTTTTGGCCAGGGATGAAGATCCTAATGTGAGCATATTTTACTTCCCTTCAACTGTGTTTCAGCTACAAGTGCCAACTCATAAACACAATACCATGCTTTTAAAATTCATACATTTACTGAGAAATATGAGACGGCCCCTCTGACTTAGGATTTTACATTTCTTATCGGTCATATTTTTAAAGGTACATACTGCCACCTGCTGTGCTGGAGTTTGTACTGAATGGAAAATCATCACAGTGTTCAGACTTACATGACAATGACATAAATCAAGTGACATCCATTAGCCTGTCTTATCAGCAGAAAAACACTTAACTGTAATATCTATTGACAACAATGACATGTTATCAATATTGTTCACCCACACTGAAAAAATCTACATTCTTAGAGAAGCAGTTGTTTATGTATAGAAATTTTAGCACCAGCAGGAGGATCCAGGCACATTGTGTGAGCACAGATGGTCTTTCAGCTCGCAAAGATACCTAACCTTGCAATGTAATTATGAAGACAGTTCTTTTTATATGTTTAAACACATAAACCACAACCTTTATATAAGCCAAGTTTGATATTTTACCACCTCCGAGCATTGGTACCAAGCCAAGAAAGTTGGACCTGTGAGTGTGCCCACTGGTACTGGAGGTGTAGATATAGATTTATTGATCTCTTCTCACCCTGGATAACACCCAACCAATATATCTTAGGATTCCTGGTACGTTTAAGGCAAGATAGAGGCAGCGCTGGGGTAAAACTGCACCCACATGCTGTTAGATGTGATTTAAAATGTTTTAAATAATGTAAGTAGACCAGTCAGGCTGTATTTGAAGAAGTGATATCCCACAGATAACAGATTAAGGTTTGACACAAGCATCATAATCTACTTTAACAACTTAAAGTAGCATAATCAACCTCTGTTTAATCTCCACCCTCTTAAAGCTGTGAAAGACTAAGTTGTTTCTTTTAGCTCTAATTAATTAACTGTGTATTTCATGAACATTGGAATATGAAAAAAGTGAGATGTGGGTTTAAACTTCAAATCAGACACCGGGGGATCATATCTTTCATTTGACAGTCATCAGATAACCAGCAAGGAAGCGTCACTCAAACAGCCGTAACATTAATACAGCCCTCTCTCTCTTTCTTACCTCTTTTCCAGATTTGATCAAGTAGGGGAGAATGAGGTAGAGAGGATCCATCGGTGTTATAAAGAGAAGTCTGCCATCTGTTAAAAAAGAGAGACTGTTAGAAAAGACGTAAAGACCTGATTCACAAGGATGCAGTTACAGTTCTGGACAGAAAGTTAAAGGAACTCTAATTTTAACTATTATTACTGTTTACAGCTAATGACTCACACTTTGTAAACATCCTATCAGTCACTGTTACAAAGTCGAGTATTACAGCTCATCCTCTTGTTTTATGTTATCGTCTACTATTTACTGTAATAAAACACGGATATAAGAATAAGAAGAACTTTATTGATCCCCAAAGGGAAATACAATTGCCTGTTGTCTCAAGTAATATGTCTATAAATATGTATATATAAATATGTCTATATACAGTACAGGCCAAAAGTTTGGACACACCTTCTCATTCAATGCATTTTCTTTATTCTCATTACTATTTAAATTGTAGATTCTCACTGAGGGCATCAAAACTATGAATGAACACATGTGGAATCATGTGCTTAAGAAAAAAAGTGTGAAATAACTGAAAACATGTTTTATATTTCAGATTCCTCAAAGTAGCCACCCTTTGCTTTTTTGATAGCGCTGCAAACTTTTGCTGTTCTCTCAATGAGCTTCATGAGGTAGTCACCTGAAATGGTTTTTACTTCACAGGTGTGCCTTGTCAAGGTTAGTTCATGACTGACAGAGTCAGTCACTAAGTACTTTTGTCATCAAGAGCAAAGGGGGCTATTTTAAAGAAACTAGAATATAAAACGTTTTCAGTTATTTCACACTTTCTTTATAAGTACAAAATTCCACATGTGTTCATTTATAGTTTTGATGCCTTCAGTGATAATCTACAATGTAAATAGTCATATAAAAAAACAAAGAAAAGACATTGAATGAGAAGGTGTGTCCAAACTTTTGGACTGTACTGTACATACTTGCCTTAGCACTGGTTAGTAATGGCTGTTACGCTGGTTATTCTGGCTTCATGCAAAACCTTTTCACAGTGAACTTTTCCTTTCTTCTCCTGCCATTGCTCTAGCAGTTTTTGGATTACTCTGGACATAACACCCTAAAGAAGAATAAGACATACCTCTCTGTACTGTCTGACCAACAAACCAGGAGTGGAAATCTTCTTCAAAGGCTTTGACCTCAAACAGTTGTACATCACCGCTACCCAGCATGTAAAGAGATGCTTCATCTGCAGGACAGAAAAAATGAGGAACTGTTATTTCGCTAAAGCAAACTAACATCACAAGGTGCAGAAATGGACTGCTGTGAAACTCAAAGCAACATGCAGGTACTTCTGATGTCTATTTCTGCTGTTTCATTATAAGTACATAATGTTTTGACTCCAAGCTGAAATTGTGAGTGTAAGTCTGCAAAAAATAAACCACACAATTGTGAGTTTCACACTGCAGTAATCTTATCTTTGATCATAGATGATCTGTGGAGTTCTCTTTCTAGTAAAACTCATGTCACATTAAGTGCTGCTCACAAAATGGCATTGTGTCCTTGAGGTCTATCAACAATCTCGAGTGTGTTTCGTTCCTTGTGAGAAGATGATTTCTTTTAAGTAGTTGTATGAGCAGCACTGCATTAAAACTGATGACTCACTGCAGATGTGAAACTCTTTCACCAACTATTGATCAACGAAATGTGAGAGCTTCAGAAGGAGCACTGAGAGCATATCATCAGTATGTATCAGGGGTATTGATGAGTCCACGTGTGTTTGAATGAAACAAACAAAACTGGCCCACGCATGGAAAGTCATTTAATAGTTCAGTCCTTTTGTGAATAGAGATGAAAAGCAAGGACCATGATTCTGTTCTGTCCTAAAAGTGATTACAGATACTGGTATTTGTGACCTTCCCTGAGTGTACCTTTTGGTTTTGTTTGGTAAATGGATCAAAACAAGCACTTTAAAGATACTGCTTTCAGTTCAGACGCCAAAGATGTGTGCATGGCAATAAACAAAAGACTGACCAGTCAAAGGATTTCGTAGTCTTACAAACGATGGGTCGCTGTCATGCTTCTGCGTGTCAACGACAGAGTCTGTGAACACAAAGCAAAAGTAAGTTCCTCAGTGTTCTTCTGAATATTGCTGAAAACACAGTCGGCAATCTTAAAACAAAGCAAAGCACTGGCAACAAAAGGTTATTTAGTTTGGGGAGATTTGGGATCACTTGGCTTGCCTGGTCAGAGATAGTTCACTGAGGGATTAAACATGCAAGCAAAGCAAATAACAATCTGACTAGTCCTCAAAGATGCTCTTTTCTGTATACGGTGGCATACATCTATAAGGTGACAGCTATTAAGCAAGTGAGAAAGGCTTCCCTCATCCTCTCCTTCAGGGCCTGGAGGGTGAGACTCTGTTTACACAAAGCATTCACACATTAGGGTGGATGTAAAACTTGAGACGAGACAAAAAGACAAAATAAAAGCAAAGACCTCGTACATATGTGCCCATGGCATGACTAGTTTACGTATCTGGAGGCTTAGCTCGGTATTAGAAGGGTGCAACACAGTATCCCAACTCTTGAGGTGTTCAAACATGATCTCACTGCTGTGTTTGAGCCTGACTTAATTTTACGCCGGAACACCCCTTTAATGGGTCTACTTTTACCCCAGTACTGCTAATGTCCTTTCAGAGCCACCGTAGAGACATGGTGGTAGTGCACGTTGGACTCCCCAGGCACACGACTCCAACCCCCGTGAGAAGACCCCACTAAAAGTAGGAGGGGGGCTTTACTGAAGGTAACGCAAACACAACTATCCCCATTGTCGAGTGTATAAAGAAACAAAGCTCTGAATACACTGAACTCGGTGTCTTTCACACTTGTCCTCAAAGTTTAACATTGCCATGCTGTTGTTACCAAGGTTACCAACCTAAGTTTAAGAGCAGGTTAGCTAATTTAGCTCAAACCGAAAGTCTTTTAAACTCACCCGGAGCAATAACAACCCAGCTGTCGTTTTGTGCACTCAGCGTACGCTTCTTTTTAGTCGCCATGTTGCGTAATTCCGATGACTTTCCGTTGACGTGGTTTGCTTTTGATTAAAAATTAATGCTTATTTCACGGCTACTTTTTTTGCCTGACAACATGAGCTCAGAAAAGGCGCCTGTCTCTCTGCACTTCCTGCGTTTGCCACACAGGAGAGACCAATACGTTTATTATGGCGCCGCTCGCTCCTTTTCATAATTTTATTTTAAAGTACAATACTAAACATATTCTTAAATAGATACGACTGTAAGTCTTGCGTTGAATCTAGGTGTGAAGTTTGCTTAAAGTCTTTATGATACATTTTGAAACCGTCCGGCTCCCCCTGCTGTTTAGCGCAGTGGAACATTCCCAATTGACGTCAAGTAAACATGCAGGTTTGGATAGAGACCACTAAAGGGCGCTCAAGAGCTTTAGCTGGTCATTTGACATTATTTTTTAGCACAGTCGCCCCCTTCTCTCGCTGATATCTCTGATAGAATCAATGTTTTGGTCCTAAACATAAAGACAACAGGTTTTACTCTCAGGTGAAGCGTGTTAGGTGTCTTTTGGCACACAAGCACACAACAGATTGGGGGATCCATCTGTCTTTCAGAAAGAGGAGGGCATCTCTCACTCCTTCTCTCAGGATATGACAGTGTGTGTCCCAGTTGGTTTTCAGTGACTCACTTGTTGTTATTTTTCTCTCTCTGCTGTTTATGGTCAAGCTGGAGCCAGGATGTGTAAGACCTGAGTGTGCGTGTGTTTGTGTGTGCATTTGAGATGACTATAGCTGTGTCATCAGTTTGTTCAGGGGTCCCTCTGATGTGTTTACACAGCTTTATAGAGCTGTTGACTTCCCTCTCTTTTTAAGACACCCACAGCACAGCTCATTAGCAGGTTTTTAATTAACTTGTTTTGCTAATGAGGAAGGGAGGGATTTGTGCGCTGGGTGACTGAGCTTTTAAACATCGCCATACAGTGTCCCCACGGGGAGCAGCATGATGTAGAGAAAAAGTAAAGGCTACACGGGATGACTTGTGACTCCACACTTCCCTGACTTTCTTATTGTGTCTTGCAGCATTTTCTTTTCTCTCTCTTTTCATGTATATAAAAATAATGTTCCCTCGCAGGCCCATTTGCCTAAGATTTGAGCAACACATGCTCTAAACTCTTTGAACATTGTCTCAACTCCTCCTTGAAATCAGTTAGATTTATGTTGCTGTAGTCTGTGGCAAAGAGAGCGTGGGTGAGATATTGTCTGTGAATTACTTGTTTTATGGCTCCCGGGAGTATCATACACAACAGTCTGTGCAGCTAAACAGAATATTCCATGAAAGCGTTCTTTCTTTTTGGGCTGCTTGAGGGAACGTCTGTGTTTCTGACTGCCAGGGAGAACAACAGCGGCCTTTCTGATACACTGGACCACAGACAACCCCAGAGAGCCCAGTCCTCTGTCACCAGCATGCAGAGGAGAACAAAGTAGGGCTAAATTTAGGCCTTGATATGGCCTCCTAGACCCAGAGTCCTGTACCCTTCTATCCTCTCCAAAACCAAAATCCCCATCTTACTTCCAACAAAGAGAATTTCAACACAAGAAAAGCCATGTCTGTTCTTTCAATCTGCGCTTTTTTCTCTCTTCCCTATTCACTTTTGAGCTTCTAGAAAAAAAGATGATTCCAATAAAGTTCTCTGTGGAGGTAGGAGTTTATTGCAGCCAGCAGGCTGTAGACGCTCGGTCACACTCTGCTGAGCACATTGAACAGCCTATGGTCCTATCTATCTCTGTGGCCTCATTTGTGGAGGTCCAATGCAGGCTGACTGGTGGTTACAGCTTACATATCGACTCAGCCTCGAGCTGTCATGTCACTGCCATGTGCCAGGCATTAACAAGGGAGTATTTTTACCCACTTCATCATCTATCTCCAGGATTTACAGAGTGGAAAAAGCTGATTTCAAGAGCATACACATTTACCACAGCACAGTGCATTTTCTACAGTCATGCCTGCCAAGAGGGAGGAGGTTATTAATAGAAAGACAACATCACTTGTAGTGCCACTTTTTCCCTATAGATACAGACATAAGCTGTGATTTTACGCAGCCACATTTTCCCTCCAGATGCAAACTCCATCTTCAGCTCTAAGAAGTAATGTACACATTGACACACTTAAATAATAGACATACACACACAGAAAACAGATGTGGAGAGCTTTCCCCTTGGCAGCAGCAGCCTTTGAGTCATCATCTGGGATTCCCTTCCTCTTGCTTCCAAATATGGGTGGGATTGTGTGAGAGCGGGAGGCAGAATGTGGAAGGCAGAGTGGAACCCCCTCGTGATGTCACAGCTCTGGAACAGTGAGCCTCACGCTGACTGGAAATTCGCAGGAAGGAATGTCGGGAATGCCAGAATCACCGAAATGCTATTCCCCGCATGCATGTTTTCAAAATCTGAGTTTTAGTACACATGTCCAAAGAGCACTCCTACACACGCACACTCACACCAAGTAATGTAGATCGCCAGTCACTGGGGAGATATTCCTTCCCGTAAAGACTTATCCTCCAACCCACCCACCCCACAGGATGGTGACTCCTTATTCCCAGCATCAGTCGCTTTGTGTGAGGCCTCCAGCTGAACGTGGTATTTCCCCTCCCTATAAAGGCAAAAATCAGTCGGATGGCTTGAAAATAAACTTGTGTGCTGGGTTGACTGAGTTAAAGTTTTTTATGTAAATTTTATATAGTGTGGGTAAAAAAATCACTTAACTTTTTCCCTCCGTTAGGGGAAATGTAACTCTTCACTCCTCTTCAAAGATCTGTAGTCGATTCAGAATGCATGCAAGACAAATAAACCTTGATTCAGATTTTGGTTTAAAGCTCTTGTGAGGAACTTTCACTTGGCTCAATTTCGGCGCACCCTGTGGCCTAAGTGCCACTTCATATGCCTCTGCTGATCTCGTCCTCAGTATTAGGAATCAAACATGGTACTTATAGAGATTGTTTGCTGTGGAACATCAAAAAAAGTCTGTTTCTGCAGTTTGCTTGCTTGTGTTTGACTTCTGCCATCCAGCAGCAGTCTCAAACATTAAAATCGACTACATGGTAGTAATCACTTGTGCCGAGTATAGTGGTGTTTTCATTTTTAGATTATCCAAAAGCGTCACTTTCAACTTTTATCTGTTTTCATGACCGCATAAAACTCTGCATAAGAGCTTTAACCTGTAAAACTATAGTGTATTTAACATTATACCTCTTAACTTTTGTACCTGTGCCCTAAATAACCTGTCAAATATTGTCATTTATCAACTAACTGTGGACTTGAATTTACTTTGTTTTTCCTGTGGTGGATAATGCACAACGAGAGTGTACATGGTCACTGAATCTGGTTGGATTAGGGCTGTGTGTATAACATAGGTCTATTCTTTTTGACAGCAGTCTGAAATAGACCATGGGAGGCCTAATTAACTAGTCGAAATCCACTTTATATCCAGACCATGTGCTCAGTAGTTTATATTACTCACTGACTGGAAAAAATAAACAATGGACAGAGCAACGGCCTTCCCAAAATGAAGTCAGACTTTTTAGAGTCTTTCCAGTAAGTGGCTGGTTACAGGTCATAAAGCCTGCCCCCTCTATTTTAACAGATGGAACATGGGTCTAACTATTCCATACTATCCCGGATATAGGAAGATGCTTATAAGAAGATAACCTCATTTTGAAAGATAAGTATGTGGGGGGAAAAATTCTGGATTTTTATTTATTTTTATTTTTTACAGGAGGCAGTCTTAACTGAGAATGATAATACTACGAAATATATACTGAATAAATGAGGCTAAATTGACGTTTTCAACATTTTATAAACAATATTTTCAGTATTTTTAAATAAAACAGTCCCAAAGTCAGTCACAGCTTGGAGAAATTGATTGGCATAAGTGTGTTACTACGAAGCTAGTGATAGTGTTTTTATCATTTAAGACATATTTGAGACGACCCAGTAGAAGCAGGTGAAAGAGGCCCAACAGAGGCAGACAAGCTTCTGTCAATAATTTGTTTGTCGGATGGTGCTGTTATATTGGGATAAGGACACAAGTCTAAGTTACCAAGCTAAAATCAGACTTAAGCTTGACTTAATTGTGCATGCAAATGTATTTTCAAGTCTATCCAAAAAAGGAGTCTATCCAAAACAATTTTATCTTTCCTATTTCTGTACAGTTAGCAGGTTGACTGGTCTGGCTTCTCACTTTACAGAACTCTACAGGTCAGCTGATTGCAGATGTAGCCTCTGACTGATCAACAGACCAAAACAAAGATGCTAACCTCTGAGCCCAGTCAGGTAACAACAGAAATGGTACTATTTTACTCAAAAGTATACATAAATTGTCACAGATTTCTTCTGTGTTTCATGGACAGTAACTGAAAATACACTGATCTTCTCTATGGGACAGAAAGCTCCTGGATGTCAGGAGTTTATCCCCTGAAGGCTGTCGTTAGTCTCACGAATCGAGTGGATTTTACAGTACACAGTCCCATTTTACAGAAAAAAAAACATCTTATGTTTGGGTCAATCAGTTCAGTGCATGTCCAGTATTTCTCAAACATGCTGTTTTTTTCATGTTAGTTCTCACTATAATGATGGATATGCAGGTTTGTTAGTTTGTTGTTGACTGGTGGTTCTGTTGACAGTCAGGCTACGGTGTTCCTTACCGGTTTAGCAGGTTGTAAGAGAAACAATGACAAGAAACAGAACAAACACTCGCACTAGTGTCAGTGAACTTTCTGTTACTGTGAAGTGTTTACATAAAATCAACACAAAAATCTCTTTCTTTAGACTGTCCTGACCCTGAGTGGCTTTTGCTGCTTTATCAGTAAGTCAAATGTGTAAACAGAAGGGGTGCAACTCCACCAGCATGATCACTTCTGCACACGACTTGGCTCCATCAGCCCAATATGTCAGCACCAACCAAGGCAGTATTTCAGCTTCACATCCCTAAACAGGAGGAAATGTAGGCACAATGTCCATATTAGTATACAGCCAATGATAGAGTTTTATGCTGAAACCTTGTACCCTGTTTTTGTTTTTTATTTAAATGAATTTTATTTGTTATTGTTTAGTTTTTTTCATGAAGCCAATGACTGGCAGGCAAACAAACAGCCTGGATACCACGACCTCCTCTGGTAAGGCTACTGTGTCTAGCTTCCTGCACACCATCTGCCTTATGCTGCCTGTCATGGCAGTAGAGTAGTAGATCTAAAAATATGTATATTCTTTTTCTTTCAGAATTGGAAGCCATCTCTAAAAGGGCCACAATGCTTTTGGTTAAATTAAAATGAATTTTTAAGAAAACCTGTTCAGATTTTTACCACTATTACACTTTTTTTTT